GGACATAATGTCTCTGGTCTCCACCTTCATTTGTCACCCGCAACAGTCTGCTCATTCGATCATGAGACTTCTTGGATACTTTGGCTCCACGGTTTTTGTAGTCCAACATGCCAGGCTTCAGATGTGTCCTCTTCAACTCTGGCTCCTTCGAAATTTCGATTCCCATCGACTTTCCTGGCACACAGTTCTCACCATTCCTGCACAAGTGCTCTACACCCTGACCTGGTGGTTGCTCCCGCAGCATCTCCTATCTGGCATGCCCTTTCAACATCCACCTCCGGAGATCTGCTTATTGACAGACGCCTCCCTTTGGGGTTGGGGAGCCCAATGTGGGCCTCTGTCTGCAAAGGGAACTTGGATGCCTCGGGAGAGGACTCTCCATATCAATGCCTTCGAACTTCAAGCAGTTCATCAAGTCCTGATCTCATTCCTCCTGGTGCTGGCCAGCAAGGTTGTTCAAGTCGCCTCAGACAACATCGCCATGGTCTTTTACATAAACAAACAGGGCAGCGCTGCCTCTCTCTGTCTCTGCTGCACAGCCATCAAGCTTTGGGACTGGTGCCTTCAACACTCCATCTTGGTATCAGCCATACACATACCCGGTGTTCAGAACATTGATGCCAATGTACTCAGTCATGCTCCCCCACGGGAGAGCAAGTGGTCTCTCTATTCTCGATACCTTCGTCCTGTCTTCCACAAATTTGGTTGCCCAACAGTAGACGGTTTTGCAACCCCAGAGAATGCTCTATGTCATCTGTTTTTCACTCGAGGTCAACCATTCCTTCACAGATGGACCGGAACCCTATTTTACTTCTTCCCTCTGTTTTCTCTGATTTCAAGGGTTCTCCAAAAGATTGTGGCAGATGCCACCTGCTGCATCATCATCACTCCCTGGTGGCCTCGTCAACTGTGGCTCCCTCACCTCTTGCATCTCTCCAAGGGCCATTTCCTCCATCTGCCTCGTGTGCCGGATCTCCTGTCTTAAGATCGAGGCAGGATCCTCCACCACAACCCAGCTTTCTCAAGCTCATGGTGGGGAGGATCCTACAATAAACTTTCCTCCTGCTGTTTCAGAGGTGCTGCTTAATGCTCGAAAGCCATCCACTCGCAACTCCTTTGATTCTTACCAGGCATCTTTGCCTGATATTTTCTCTTATGTAGTATCCTTGAAGGACTCTTGTCTCGCATACTCTTCACTGAAAGTGCACCTTGCTGCGATCTCAGTACATCACTCCCTAATACAGGGTGCCAGGGTTTTCTAGCACCGCCTCACAAAGTCCTTTCTAAAAGGCCTCCTTCACCTTGTCCACCTCGAAAGCCGCTGGTACTGTCCTGGAGCCTATCTCTGGTCCTTACCCAATTGATGGCTAAACCGTTTGAGCCGATGGCTTCGGCAGACCTTTGGCTCCTGTCCTGGCAGATGGCATTTTTAATTGCTATTACTATGGCTCACCGTGTAGGAGAACTTGCTGCCTTCTGAGTAGATCCTCCTTATACTATTTTCCACAAGGATAAGGTTGTTATCAGGCCAGACCCAACCTTCCTTCCTAAGGTAGTCTCTGCCTTTCACCTGTCAAAGTCTGCTGTCCTACCTACTTTCTTTCCGAACCCTTCTGATATACCTCAAAGGACTTGCACTCCTTAGATGTCCAGAGACCTCTATCCTTTTACCTCTCTCACATGCAGCCCTTTCGAAAGTCTCAGAGGCTTTGTTGCATATGCTCCCCCATGTAGGGGTGACGTGATTTCGTCGCAGAGGTTGTCAAAATGGGTGACCTCAACCATAGCCCTCTGCTATGAGCTTGCACATCAACCCATACCTACCTGTATTACCACCCACTCCACACAAGTGGTATCCACTTCGACTGGCTTCCTGGCTGGTGTCCAGTTAGAAGATGTCTGTGCTGCTGCCATGTGGTCCTCCACCTCAATCTTCGTGTCCCACTATGCACTAGACGTTTGAGCTTGACGAGATGCTGCTTTTGGCCAGGTGGTGCTGAGATCTCTCTTCGTATGAGTCTTCTGCTGCCGCTTCTGAGAAGTCAATTGTATAGCCAAATGATATTGTTATGTCATATCCTGTTTATTATCTTTTTTCAGCTGCCAGCTCCCACCTCTGTCTGGTTCAGCTCATTAATCACCCATGTGTGAGACTGCACAGAGACCACAAAGAAGATAAACAGGTTGCTTACCTGTAACTGATGATCTTAGAGTGGTCATCTGTGCAGTACCACAATCCCACCCGGCCTTCCCCACTGCTGGCATCTCCTGGTTACTTACCTTTGGTACTGGGACATGTGCGTAGCGGTTGAAGGAACTGAGTGGGAGGCAACTCTCTCCTTCGCTCCAGGCATGCGCAGTGCGTGTCTGCTCCCCAGACCGGGAAGAGAGCCCGCCAAAAAAGACTTCTGAGGCAAGCTCTGGAACATTCTCCGATTGAGGTCGTGCGAAGGCACCCAACCCATGTGTGGTACTGCACAGATGACTACTCGAAGATCATCAGTTACAGGTAAGCAACCTGTTTTTCCCAGAAACTCAAATCTTGCCACCCAGATTGTATGCACTGATGCATGCACAAGCCAAATGTTGACATCTACAACAGAAAGGAAAAGAGAATTCCCTCTGGATTCATCATTCAGACTTGAAAACCCAAGCTCTCAGATTCAGATTTCTGCATAAGTCTCCTGAGAAAGGAGACAGAAATTTAAAGGGAATTCCACAGAACAATCATATATTTATCCTGTCCTGTATTCAGGGAGTTCAAGGCCATATACATGTCTCCTCTGTCCTCCATTTCACCCTCACAAACAGCCTGTTAATATTGACTGCTGTAAGAAACAGTGACTGGCCCAAGGTCAATCAGTGAATATCATGGCAGAGCAGGCATTTGAACCCAGTTCTCCCCAATCTTAATCTAGTGCCACATTGGTTACCAGTGCATTTTGTGTATATTCTAAGTGTTCAGTGCATAGTGCTAATTACTTTTTATAGTAAATGTGCTTATGTAATTTTTATTTTAAATTTCTCACCCATTCCAGGGTTTGTAGTAATTTTGAAATACAGAAAATGAAATGGAATAAACACAGATTAAATAACTTCAGCCAAAAACCTTATGCCTTTGAGGAGATCCCATTCCTTTCCTGCCGCTTCATGTCTTCCACAAGGAACCCTCCCTATATTGTCCCACTGCTTAGTTTGTATTCTCTTTTAGGTGGTACTTACAAAAAATGAGTCCCCTCCTGTCACCCTGATGAGCCAGCTCTCTTCAGATTTTCCTCTTCTCACTGTAAAGGCATAGCTATCCGGTTTTCTCATACCTAGACAAGATAGATGAACCAAACCAAAGGAATGAAAACCAATCACCTGAAAGGGCTTCTAATAACACACCTAAACAATGAGTTGCTGCTCTTTAGCAGTCACCCATCCACAAGCAGCCATCAACTAGGCAGGGATTGCTTTGGGGGCAGGGTACACTGGAGGAAAAGGCTAATCTGAGAAGTCAATCCAGCAAACAAGATGGTGGTAGCTACTAACAATCTCTGAATGATGGTAAACAAAACTCACTGTATCTTTTTTGTTGTATATATTTACTCTCAGGTTGATAGACATTTACACTTGAGGTAATAGGAGGGCTAGTGGAAGCCAAAGCGTGTACACTTCAGTATGGATTGTGTTCAAGTACACTGTCTCTTATCTGCCATTCTCTGGTCCCCCAAATAATTATTTACTATGATCCGTGATTATCCCCGTGTCTGTTGCTGTGATTTCAGTAGGGTTTCAGAATGTGAAACTGTGGGTTGCGTTGCAGTCTATTTTACCAGAAGCAGTAATTGGCCCTTTCTGACATTACACATGTATCTGCATCCATTTCCTTGTATATACTATGTTTGGTCCATTAATCTAAGCACAGTGGGCATTTGTGGGACAAAAGGGCAGCTCTCCTGGAAGTTTTTCAGTGTATTTGTGTGGAAAGTTTGAAAAAAGAAAGCAAATAGCCTTTGAAAAAGCTAAATTTTAGAAAACTATTCAGTGGGCTTCCTGCCAAGTTAGGCTAATGTTTATATTGATTTTGGTGCTTTTACTTCAAGCGTTTCTGCTCATGCTGTTTTCAGGTAGCCTTGAACTACCTAGATAGGGTTAGTCTTTACAAGTCACATTTTTGGTGAAGCGGCTGGTGGGGGATTCTTTGCTCTCAGACAAATGTTTCTGGCGGGATAATTTTTTTTTTAATGGATGTGTGTTGAGAATAGAAAAGCCCTTGTACCTTCTAACTGCAATATGGAAGGTCTCTTCTATTGTCATAGAGACAGAGTATGGAAGTCTCAGATTTAAAGACAGCATTGTCGGGGGGGGGGGCAGAAGGCGGGGGAAGAAAATGACAGCTGCTTTATTTGCTACACCTTTTATAGCCTGGAAATTTTTTACTGTCTTTTCAGCTTTTTTGATGAAATTTTATTTTTGTGCATATTTGAGTAGATTAAGTAGGTGGTGTATTAACCACCACTCATGCAAATGACAAAAGAGGTCTTTTAAGATTTAACAATTGGCCCCTCATTTTATTTCTGAAGGACATAAATTATGAATGAGAGTTGTCAGAAATAAAGTGCTTTATTAATTAAATCTTTTTCTCGTCTTGCTTCTACAGCTAAACCAACCCCAGGCGGGGGTGGGGGGGATTCACAGCCACCTTAATTATAGAGAAGACAAAAAGTATCCTTCACATTCCTTTGCTTGAATAAGAATAAGAACTCAATTCATCTAAATAATAACCCCATTAGCTGCTTAACTCAACAGCATACATGGGAAAATTTTCAATACCATGTGTAAGAAAGTGTTGATTTGGTGGATCGTTTTCAAGGTTTTGTTCTTCTGGTATTCAAAATGATAATTTTAAGTAAATCCGATCTGTCAGGGTTAGCCGCTTTGTACCATATATGACTTATGACAAAAGTGCTGTGTTCATATACACACTAATGCTGCTTTTGTCTTCTGAAATGCAGCAACAATACCATTCGAAAATAGACGACTTGATAGAAGAAACAGTGAAGGAAGTAATTTTGCTCCTTGTTTCAAAGGTAAATGTGTTTGTGTTTTGTAGCTGAGTGGCAGTGTGAAGAAAAAAACCCTGTTTCCATATCTGCTTTCTGTAGAGAGGAGGCTTTTGTTTTGTATTTTACCCGCTGCATTTTTAAAGGAAAATAGGCTTATCAACTAGCACTCCATCAGTTCACCAGTTTTGCAGGATGTTTACAGGTTTAAATGGGTTTTTTGTTGCTCTGCAGTGTCTGTCAATCAGATATATTTCTTTTGTGTTTCATGTGACAGCGCCTCAATTAATTACTGGCATCCAGCACCATCACATTTTTCTTTACTATATTAGAATTAGATTTTAATTAGGGGCATCATTGTTACCTTGCAGATCAGGAAAATGTATTTTCATTTTTCATATTGTAAGTTAGCCATTGCGCATACATTAAAAAGACTAATGTTTAAACTTTTTCTTATTATCCTCCTGAAGTTTAAATGTAGCAGCTTGGTAGTTCTCCTTTATACTAAAGGGGAAATCATAAAATCTGATGATATTTCACCCAACGTAATTTAAAACGTCTCCACTAAGAAAATGAGCTTTCGTGAATCAGGGAGTGGGAAGGGGTTCAGTACAAAATGAGAATGGTAGAGGAATTAACCTCAGCTTGCTCTAAAAGAAAATAGCTGCTGTTTGCCTCTAGTTCCCCCACACATACATACACACACACACACAGACATTTAACATAGTATCTGTCCATAGTCCTGGAATGCTCCTAGATACAAACCTGCTTGGTGTGAATAATTCCATGCTTTGAAGCTTTATGGAGATAGACACACAGATCAGAGGCAAATAACTTGCCTGAATTATGCCTACTGCAGCCTGTCTGTTTCATAGCACAGTGTCGTGCCTTTGGAAGCAAAGCTGTGGATTTCAAGTTGTGCAGAACTCATACATGATGCCTGTTTCCCTGTCCTTTCTTGCTTAGCAGAATCTATAAAAAATTTACTTTACTTAGGACAGCACCACACAAGCTGGGAAATTGTTGCCTTGAGGCACAGTTTTCCCCCCACGGTGTGTTAATTGCATAAAAGTAAAGGTATAGCCTCAACTCGGACTTGATTTGTGGGACCCCTGTGGCCCTTTCTCATAGGGTGGCCGCTTCAGAACCTCCTGCATAGCATTTCATCTTTTGCTTCTGGCACACAGAGAGCCATTCTCCCTGCTTTCTTCAGTTTCCGGTTGTGGAAGCCTGGCACTGCTTAACTGAACATTGAAGCGAAGAGGATTGCTCTCCAGGCATCTAGAGCTGCCATGCAGTAGAGGCACCATTTCAGATTTTTGGTCCCCTCCCCCATGGGGCATGGGGGGGCATTAAGCCACATAGATTAGGCACTGTTTGCAATCTATAATCATTACTTTTTTAGAATAAAGGGTTAATGAGGTCTTTTTGGTGAGATCATAAAATAGCCAAGATGGACAAAAACATTTGGAGAATGTGACCACTTTTCCTAGGAATTACCAGCTCCCCAGGTAGACTCTTCTTGAAGCATCTGGAGACCTCTCTGTTGTTCTTGGCCTAATTTGAAGACTTTAATCCCTAGTTTAAAAACTTCAAATAATGTCATCAGTGTTTCCCAACATCTAGAATCTTCTATAGAGCTTCTACAGAGACTAGAGGGCTAGGGGTCAAACTATCCTAAAAATAGCCAAAATAATGTTGCACAGAAAGGTATAAATAAATCTATTTTTAAAGCAATAGAATATTAATTTTAATAAACAACACTATCACAAAGAAAAGATAATAATTAAAACACTCTGAATAGTACATGTGATTAAGCATATTTCCACAATGTCTTAATCAGTGGTTCATTTTCTCAAAATAATAATATAATGTACTCCTATTCTAGAGATATACATGTACACACACAGGGATCTGATCATCTCAATAAACCGTTTGTGCAAGACTGACAAAATAAAATCACCTCAGCCTGGTAACTGGCTCCCTGTCGTCCTTCCTTCCCCTCTCTTTCTGTCTCTCTGTCTCTGTTAAACTAACATGCGGGACCCTGATTCTGCACCACAGTCCTGCCAGAGTCAGGGCCCCTTGGTACATTTAGAGGGAGTTCTCCAGCAGCTGGCATATGGCTGCCACTCCTTATTGACAAACTTCACACCTAATTTGGCCCTCTCCTCCCAGCCCATCTTGCCTTTCCAGCAGTCATTCGTCTCCCTTGCAAATTTTATTGGCTCAGGCAGATTCAAATAATTTATGATAATTCCATTATAATCAGCATTTTGCAGAAGGAGCCCTACCTGATATTGCTACTTTGAGTGCACTGCAGATATAAGCAATCCATTGATGCATTACGTGACAAGCCAGAGAATCTGCATCACATCTAAAGTGGGCCTTCTTCCTAGTTCTTCAAAACAGAGTGAAGCTCACTTCTTGTTTGTTGATACAGATCTTAGATAATATCGTAAAACAGATGATACACAGAGGAGATATGTTAAAAATTGGAACAGGTTAAGGATGTGATGAGTGCTGTTCACTGCTGTTGCTCCTTTAAGCCATTAGGAGCCCGGATCTGTTGTAAGGTGAGAGATCCTTACAGAGAACAAGGAATATGACACTGTTGTGACACTGTTAGAGTGGCCATTAACAGCATGCCAGATGGAATTTTGTCCTGTCCTCTCACTTGTAAAATGCTGCTCCTGTTCTAGGGATGAGCGTATAAATGTCAAGCAATTATTCTTTAAAACACTTCTCAGGTGCATCATCAGTCTCTTCACATGGAAGCGTGCTTGTGGCAGGGATGGCAGATAGTCACAGTACAGTTGCTCAGTATGTGTGCATAAATTTGGGGTCCTAGATTTGTATTTTCCAGGCCTGTGAGTTTCTCAGCTTGGTTTTAGGTCCCTTGTGAAATGAACTCCAAACTATAGGGGTCTTTGGGGAAGCGAAGTTCTGTAAGATAATTTCATCTGTCACTCAGGGCCAGAATGAGCAGGCCTGAGTGCAGAATCTCATTAGTGTTGGGCTAATATCCTTTGTCAGTTCTGCCTCTTATGTATAATAAAACAGTAAAGATGCCATCTACTTATATTGGTGTATCTTTCTGCCATGTTGGGGTTCAAAAACAAACAAACAAGAACAGGATATATTAGTTTCTTAGGAGGAGGCGCTGGTGTTCCACACTATCAAGTCTTGTATTATCTACTCTGCCTGGCAACCGTTTTCTAACAGAGAGAGATATTTCCAGTGTCCACTGCTTGAGATCTTGTAACCCAAGATGCCTGGGGTTAAACTTGGGAACCCCTGCATAGAAGACCCCTGAACCACAGCCTCTCTCCCATATTCTGAGAATGTGTCCTTGCATTTGCAAAGCTAAGCATAATGAGCTGGGTGGGGGAAAGGGTGTGTCATTAGTATTTCTTGAATTTCTGTTTCAGTAACGAACACCAGCCTCAAAAATGCATTAACAGAACAAGTGGATCCAGCGTTTGAACCAACAGTGGCTGGTTCGAAACATGTATCTGTATTATGAAAAGAGGGATTGCATTCCATCTTTTATCTCAAGGCTTACTCATTGTATTGGCTTGTTCTAGTAATGGTTACCCATTAACGTGTATCCTTAATAGATACTCTCTGTATAGTTGCTGAATAGATCAATTTTAACCCTTTTTATTTCTTTAGACCTGAAAGAGGGTTTGCCAATGCATAGCATTTTGATTGCATGGTCCCAGCCATGGGAGGAAACATTCTCCTTCCTCAGTTGTATGAGTCATTTTCATGAACCTTTTGTGTCTGTGTGAATATTTACCCAGTGCCTCTTATTGTAGTTTATTGCAGTGTTGGAAAGCGTGCTGTCTAAATTATCAAGGTATGATGAAGGCACTTTCTTCTCATCAATACTTTCATTCACTGTAAGTACTTCAGCTCTTTTGCAATTGATTATTAAAAGTCCACTTAGAGCTAATGGTTACCAGTTACAGTATCTGTTTTTTACTTTCAATTTTTTTAAGGTGAAAGCGGCTGCAAAATATGTTGATGTTCCTGTAAGTATGATATTTTCCCCAAGAAAAAAAGTATTAATTTTGTAAATTGTTGCTTTCCACAGCATGCTCGTTTTTTTTTCCTTTCTTTTTTATAATACGTTACCATTGCCCTTTCCTTTAGAGATTCATTGTAGCTTTGCACAAAGTATTTAAACAGATACAGTCCTGCCCCTCGAGAGTATTTCATTTCCCTCATGTGACAGCCAACTCTCAGAGCAAAGCTTGGAAAGGTTATTCTCAGTGCACTTTTGCAGTTGCAGAGAACTGAGGAGTGTAACCTAGGAACTGTTCCACAGGGGACTGTGTCATCATTTGGGTTGCTGAGGCAAGGCTTCAGCTCATTTGGGTTTCTCAAGAAAATGGACATCCTGCAAAATTTTCCACCGAATCATATCCACGGCCATAAACAGTTTGTTGTGACTCTCAGGCTCTCCTGCCACCCATTATTCAGATGAAGCTAAACAGCGAAAATATCAAGAGTGTGCAATTAGTATCCACACAGCCCTTTTTCTTGTAGTCTGGCCTCTTAAGAAAATCCCAGATTTGTCGTTTGTCTGCTTTTTTCTATTCTTTTTACTATTTGTAATTTTCTTAGCTTTTAAAAAAGTTTTTAAATCTATGTTTAAGTTGATATTTTTAGGTTGATACTGTTAGTTTAACATTCCTGTTCTTGTTCCCTGTGTCTCTGTTCCCCCAGCCTGCTTTCTTGCATCCCTTTTGTCCTTTTCAGTTTACTTTGGGTAGTGGGCTGGGTCACACAGTTGGAAATACAGAAACACATGAAAGATTCATGTCCAGTAGCAACTTAAAGACCAACAAAGATTTCTAGGCCATAAGCTTTCAAGAGTCAAAGCTCCCTTCATAAGATATCTGACAAAAGAGCTTCTGCCCTAAAAATATTTGTTGGTCTTTAAGGTGCTACAGGACTCGAAACTTGCTCTTCTACTGCAGACCAACATGGCCGCCCACCTGAAACTATGTACTTGCTGCCGCATGTATGTCAAAATATGCATTGGCATACCCATAGTGCTTCATAAGTGTGGTAGTAAGCAGACCCACACCAAATTACACTCATATGTTTCTACATTTTCAGCTACACAGATCAGACAGGTACATGCTCAACATTATGTCAAATGCTAATTTTGCTACAGTCTTGCTTTGATGTATATACTCGTGGGAATTTCTCATTCTTTGAGTTTTGTGCTTTAGTGTTCAGTCAAACTGTAAGACTCTGCAGTAACTCTCAGACACGATAAGTCCGTTTATGGATTTTATTAGCAATCAGGAAAGTTGCAGGTGAATCAAAGGTTTTGACAGTAATGGCAGATAATACAAGTTTAGCTCTTACGAGAACTTTGGTGCAGCCCACATTCATGCGTCATGGTTACATGTGACAGAGACAGGTTAATAAAGTACAATTAATACTGTGAGAATGTTTATCTAACAGACTTCCTGCAAGGCCAAAAAATATCACGAGAAGCAAACAATCTCCTGGCCATTGTGGAGGAGGTGTCTCATAAAAGTGTACCAAGCGCACTATCTACAATAGACAACCAAGCCTGTTTCAACTACCCCTCATCCTGGGAATGTCAGAGGAGGACATTATAGAATAGTTGATTCATAGCTAGCAGGTGTTAACAATCACCCTGAGAACAAGAAGCCAGTGTGAGAATACAAAGATAAAGCATTTGGGATAATATGCAAGCAAGCAGGGCATTAAGCTATGTACATCAGAACACCTCTGAGAATCCAGACTGACCCCAACCAACCATAGGTCCGATTCTGACACAAACATGTGAATTTATCCTTTAGTAAAGCAAATAGGATTTCTTCTAGAGCTTGTCAGAAAGCAATTCTCCTAGAATGCTGCTCCCTTAGGGACGATTTCCGCATTATGGAATACACCGGGGGGGGGGGGTCCAGCCCTATGTCCTTTACCCTGATTCAGATTGCAGTGGTGGTACCACATGTGAAGAAAGGACTTTAACGTTCTTCCTTGCATCATTTTCCTGACTTTTAAAAATAATAGTTTACATAGTATATGTGCGGAATAAAGAGAACAATATAGTAATAAAGTGTTTTTAGTGAAAAAGACATCACACTTTCCAACTATTTCCAACATCAGCTAGGAATCAAAACATAATATACCAATATCATTCCAGCTGAGATGCATCTTGCCATTTTTCTGACATGAAAGGGGGGGCAATATCAGGCCAGTTGGGGAAACCCACCTGGAAATTCGTGGGTTTTCCCAACAGACCAAGCAGCATCTCTCCAGTACCATTTCAGTTCAGGAAAATAGCAAAGGGAAGGGGGAGAGCTGGAGCCCCTTCTCCACATGAGCTGCAGTGGTAATCCAAATGGGGCACCATGTGTGTGTGGAAACTGAGGAGTTCATGTGTACAGAGAGCGGGGACCTCAGTCCCAACCTCCATCATGTGGAAATCAGCCTTTAGCATTGCTTAAGATTATTACAGCAAATAAGGAGAAGATTCTGCCACAGGACCTACAGAGAGAAATGAGTAGTTGGTTTGAAATCAGAGCTAGCAGAGGTTGAAGAGTGGCTCTGTTTGGAAAGTAGAAGTCCATGAATATCTTCTTCCCTGCTTTCAAGGAGCCTGGATATTTAGTGCTATGTTTAAAGTATGAATAAAATGTGCTTTTAAACATAGATCTGAAAAAACAAGAGCTGAGAGAGGCCTATCAAATTTTTAAAAATTGTCTGGGCTGCAAAGAATTTCACCACTGCAAGACGTAGTTATATGAATAAGGTTTGTACCAGCAGAAGATTCTGAATATTTTAACCTCTCATTAATGTTTGATCTATTGAGTCACAGTGTGCTCTTAGCTCTCACCCATAAGCATTTTTGGTATACTGGTATCCTGTATTCTAGCTAAAAAACACCTAAAAGTTGCATGGTAGCCTATAGTATACAACACAGAGAACCAAGTCATAAGCATCAAAGAACTCCTACATTCTCGTGCTTAGAGTAATCCAAAATTCTCAGTTCCTCTGCCATTATAAGTGTAAAAATTTTCCCCCACAGAATGTGTTTCGTTCCCTTCTTTCTTTTAGAAAATGTCCATTATGCCACCTCTCCAAAAGATCTGCTCAAAGCAGCTTGTAAAGTAAAAAAAACAATGCACTAGTTTCTTGTACAGATGGAAAAACGAAGTTGCCTAAGGTTTCTCAAAGACCTGCCACTGATCCAGTTCAGTGTGGTAGTTTCATAAAATTAGGTCAGTATTGTTAAATAAATGTCTCCTTTTTGTTGTTCTTGTAGCAGTGACCCATCCCACTCCTGCAAGATAGGGCAGGATCAAAAATAAATAAATAAATTATCAATGTTCACTGAACTGGCTTTTTATAGAAAGGGTGTTTTATTTTTCAAGAAGAAGAAAAGAAGAGATTGGATTTATACCGCGCCCTTCACTACCCAAAGGTGTCTCAGAGCGGCTTACAAACTCCTTTCCCTTCCCCTCCCCACAACAGACACCCTGTGAGGTAGGTGGGGCTGAAAGAGCTCTGACAGAAACTGCACTTTTTCAAGGACAGCTCTTATCAGAACTATGGCTTGCCTAAGGTCATCCAGCCAGGTGCAAGTGGAGGAGTGGGGAATCAAACCCGGTTCTCCCAGATTAGAGTCCACACACTTAACCACTACACCAAACTGGCTCTCAGTCTCGCGTGCTCTGATACTGGCTTTATGCTGCCTTTTCAAGACCATGCAGTCACTACTATGGCATCAAGTCCCTTTTATTTTTGTTGCTGTTCATATATCCGTAATGCACATCAGTGTCTCTCTGTCTCATACACACATACTTTTCCTCCAAGGAACTGACACATGGTTCTCTCCTCCCATTTTAACCTCACAACAATCCCAGGACATAGGCTAGGCTGAGAAAGATTGGGTGACCTTGGTCAGCCAGTCTTTCCCAGCCTAACCTATCTGCCATGATAGAATGGGGATCTGAACCTGATGGCCTTGACTGTATGTTACAGTGTTTATGGGTCTACCCTGAGTTCTCTCAGGTAACATTAACTGCAGGTTCCTGGTTGCAAGTTCCAGGCATATGGGAGTCCAGTTCAAATCAGGACTGTGGCATGCAGGAAGAGGAGGATCTTCGTGGTCTCTGTGCATCACACCCATGGGACTATGCGCCTGCGCTGATCCGAATTGGTGGTATGCAAAGCTCACAAAGGAATTTTCATGCCTCTCTCCCAGGCATGCACGGGAACCCCACTGCGCATGCCCAAGGAGGAGGGGCACGGACATCCCCCAGTTCTCGTCTGATCGTCGCACTGTTAACAGCTTGTTTTCTGCCGGTCGGTGAAGAAGCATTTTTTCCTCTCACAAGGGATTATTTAAATCGTACTTTTTTCGCTTACAGCGTTTATTTTATTTTGTTCTTTAGAATTATTTTAAAAAGGACTTTTTGTTGAGGGTTGCCGCTGCCTCAGGTGGCTTCCCGCCTCCCCCCTCCCCGAGGTAAAATTTATTTCACCTCATCAAAAGAGTTTTTTCTTTTGGACCATTCTACTCTTTTATGGCCAAAAGAGGGGGCTGTTTCAAACTGTGTGTTGACTGTGGCAGCAAACTTGCCCCTCGTGACAGCCACACACTCTGCATTATTTGCCTCGGGGAGACTCATTGCCCAGACGCTTGCCATCATTGTGCGAAGTTCTCGAACCAGACTCTCAAGAACAGAGCCGCGAGACTTCGAGTAGCGCTTTGGGAATCCACATTTACCCCCGTGCCTGTGGGAGATAGGTCGGCCGAGACTCCTTCGATCTCTCAACCAACGCTGACCATGTCGACATCGGGAGGTACCTCGGCACCGAATCCCCCACACTGTGCAAAGTCGGCATCGGACGGGGGACAGTCTTCTAAACGTTGGTGTTGAATGGGGCCTCTTCCACCTCTACACCGGCCAGAAAGAAGAAAAAAGAGAAGCACGAGAAAGCTAAGTCTTCTCTCACCAGCACTGTGCGTAAGTCT